CAGGCTATGCTACTTGCTGACAGTTACATTAGCAGGTGGCTAACAGTCTCTGTCAGGCTATGCTACTTGCTGACAGTGACATTACTAGGTGGCTAGCAGTCTGTTTCAGGCTTGGTTACTTGCTACTAGTGACATTAGCAGGTGGCTGACAGTCTGTGTCAGGCTATGGTGGTGCCTAACGGTATGTATATACGGTATGTAAATGACAGGGTTGAGTCACACATAATTCTTCAACATAACCTTTGAACAGTCCCCTGGATACAGAAATGAAGCCACACCTAAAATGGTGGAGTTTTACAGCCTCAAAGCTAACAAAAGTATGACTGAGAAAGATCCACCCCTGATTTGTACACAGCTAAATATAGGCTATAGCCTGACTACAAGCATTAGACCTGGGGCCTGTACTGCGAAGCGGGTTACTGGCTTATCAGGGTAACTTGTTGGATTTAAGGTAGTCTGGGCAAAATGTAAGTGAACGAATATGAAGTCCTTTTAAACTGTGGTACCTTAAATCCGACATGTTACCCCGATAAGCCAGTAACCCCGTTTCGTAGTACAGGTCACCGGTGTTATATAACAACATTAACAAGGAAGAGTGAAATTATAAGGATCATAATGACTCTTTAGTGGGGACTCCACCTAGTGGCCAGCATGAAAATGACACAGCAGGGGTAGGAGAGTGGTGTGACACAAAAGCAGCTAAAATATCTGCCAGTATTCAAAATAATTTTGTCAGTTATATAACAGAAGCCAGAACCAGGGTGATGGCAACACCAATAGCATGTATGCACCATACAGATAAATAGCAAAGATTGTGTTATATGAGGCATCGATGTATTCAAATGGCTCTCATCTTTTCAGGGAAAAATGTCAAAATTTGCATCTAAAATGCTTTCTTAGAATGGAAGTTTCTGCATTGCTATTCTTGGTCTTTAACCCAGAATGTTCTCAGTTCCGCCAAATCTGAGTGCTCATACGGGTGATTTATGACTGATTGTTGGTGTGTGAATGAGCCCCTTCGAAGCGTCCTTCCCCTTTCTCGGTCGGCCTTCCGTGTGCTTCGCCAGCCCATTTCTTCAGCGCTGCTTTGCACCAGAGAACACAGGCTGAAATGAATCTGAAATCTCTGTCGCAACATGTTCTGCTAACTGTGATATTGCTGAAACGTATATTGGGTAACTGCTGGATGGATGCATCGAGCAGAAGCGTCACAGGACAAAATGACAGTCAGTCTGTCCTGCCATAGAAGTTATCATTTCCTGTCTTTCAGAGAAAATAGACCCAAGAATGGAGGCATATGTGTAGCCAACCATACCTCACCGATTGATATAGTTATCCTGGCTAATGACAGATGCTATGCTATGGTAAGTCCCAGCATACCCAGAGACGCCTGCTAACATTTCATGGCAACATTCATTCAGTGATTGATCGATGTTTCCCATACAGTTTTCATACATGCATATTTCCATCACTGACTGATCCGTCTTAAGCCCTGTTTGGCTGGGATTAGTTTTACCTGGGGATGTAATGCAATGAAGCTATTACCGATGACAGCCGTAATTTTAATACGGTCTGAATACTGTCTGTAATTATTACAAGCCTCCCGAGTAAATATTCAGGCATGAATTACTTTCTGTATTTCAGCAATCACAGACCAGTAACAGCCCTGTCCAAATTGCCATAATATAAGGTCGTATCTGTAATACATGCCTCTCTGTGTAAAACAGAAAAAGCATTTGCCTGCTAAAAACGGAGCTTGAATGAGTCCTGAGTTTTCCACATGTAGCTCTGACGGCCTCCTCTGCAGCGAGGTGGACAGTAGGTGGGGGGCAATACAGCACCGATTTACTGTATAGCTGGGGGGGGGGGAAAAGTTCTGTTTTTGTGCTAGATTATTTTGTTAAATGGATAGGTCACTTAAAAATGGAGATTATGTTTTCATTTCCATCATCCAGATGAGATGAATTTTATCTCTGTTGTCTTTGGTAATTCGGGGAAATTACATGTGTTTCTCACTTTATGAACTGGGTAAAACTAATCCCACCAGAACAGGGCTTTTGGTGAATTTACTACGACATCAGCTTACATATACAATTCCCAGGTGGGCCAAGTACACGGGGGCCTGATGGGAATCATACAAAGGTCAGCGGTGAGAGCCTGTCCTCATGTTTGGTTTGAGAGGTCCGAGATGAAAGATCGCCACCTAGTGGCAAAGAGGTGAACGCCCAGCTCTACTCCTCACTCTCACCTCTGCCCTATAGTTTGTGATTTGTGGGATTTGTGGATGCCCAACATGGTCGAATCCCAAGCAGCAATTCAGCCATTTTGGATTTTTTTTCTGTGATACATCACATGATTTCCCATGCTGATGACCATTGGCCGGTTCTCTGATTCTTCCACAGGCTGAGGGATCATGTGGCAGATAAGGCCAAGCTTCCCATACTCATCTTTCCTGAGGGTAAGTGTGGTAGCCTGGCAGCTGCCCTCGTCGGGGGCTCCTGCGGGGGTGCGGTCCGTGTGGGTCCTGAGACTCTGTGTGTGTCTTTCCCTCCAGGGACCTGCATCAACAACACATCGGTCATGATGTTCAAAAAGGGGAGTTTTGAAATTGGAGGGACCATCTATCCTGTGGCCATAAAGGTGACGCTTCCTCGGTCGCCGGATGGAGCGCTTTGGAGAGCTGCTGTGGGCCTGGGCCGCGGTGTGCAGGGTCTCTGCTCCTCTGATGGGACCTGCTGTGTCTCGCCTTCCCTTTACAGTATGACCCACAGTTCGGAGATGCCTTCTGGAACAGTGGTAAATACAACATGGTGAGCTACCTGCTGCGAATGATGACCAGCTGGGCCATTGTGTGTAACGTGTGGTACCTGCCTCCCATGCAGCGCCAGGTAGGAACCTGGGGGGCAACAGGAAGGAGTACAACACCCACGCTCTTGCTTCCAAGAGATCATATTTATTGTGCTCTCCGGTATAGAGTCTTACTTCTAACCTGCATCTGTTTAATGCTGGAACTAAGAAACTCTGCACCTCCAGAGTGTTTTTTGCTGTCTTCATCGTTTGCTACCCGTTTCATATTTCTGCAGGAAGGAGAAGATGCCGTCCATTTTGCAAGCCGAGTAAAAGCAGCCATCGCCCATCAGGGGGGGCTGGTGGACCTGTCCTGGTAAGAGCCTAAGGTCGTGGTGAAGTTTCTTTCTGTGTAGCCATCAAAAAATCTGCCAAATGTACAGTATGTATCTTCGCGTTTTGCTAGAGGTTTCACTGTCTCACCACTTGGTGGTGCTGTTGTGCTAAATATTACCCGGGTGCCAAAACTGAGGCGTATGCCTCCAATTCAAATACAACTGGTGCTTAAAAAGTTTGTAAATAGCAAAGGATTACCAAGTATTCAGTTCCTGTCTGGATTAAGGACATGGTCATGGAGCTTAGCATCTTCCCATAGACTGCACATGCATTGATAAAAGCTTATCTTCTGAGATACACTTTCACCCAGAAAATGTAGTATGATTCATCTTTTGTGCAAGCGCTTTTCCTAGTCAGAGTCATGACAGGACAAGCTGTTCAAGAATTATGCTGAATATTAGAGGAGGAAACTGGACAGCTTCAGGGGATCTTATTGGCTTTGAGTCTGGGGGACCGTAGGGGATCTTTATTTGGGAAGGACATCAGTTTCTGTCTGGGCCTGCATTCACATTCCATAACCTGGGCACCAGAGGAGGGTGTGGCAGAGTGATGCAAGTCTGTATAAGCGTGTCTGTGCTTACAGGGACGGCGGGTTGAAACGGGCCAAGGTGAAGGACACCTACAGGGAGCAGGAGCAGAAGAAGTACAGCAGCATGATCGTAGGGGACGGCAGCAGCCGGATCGTAGGGGACGACAGCAGCAGGATCGTAGGGGACGGCAGCAGCAGGATCGTAGGGGACGACAGCAGCCGGATCGTAGGGGACGACAGCAGCATGATCGTAGGGGACGACAGCAGCAGGATCGTAGGGGACGACAGCAGCAGGATCGTAGGGGACGACAGCAGCAGGATCGTAGGGGACGACAGCAGCATGATCGTAGGGGACGACAGCAGCATGATCGTAGGGGACGACAGCAGCAGGATCGTAGGGGACGACAGCAGCACGATCGTAGGGGACGGCAGCAGCAGGATCGTAGGGGACGACAGCAGCACGATCGTAGGGGACGGCAGCAGCAGGATCGTAGGGGACGACAGCAGCATGATCGTAGGGAATGACAGCAGCAGCTGATGGGGATTCCAGGTCCTTAGGAGCAGTGCACTCACCCAGAAGACTGGAAATTTCTGCAGAAATGTAGGTTTTT